TATCTTGGGCTGGTGAGGAACAGATAGGTGACTTCCAGCTATGCTGAGGCACTCTGAATACTGTCATACTGAATTAAACTAAGAATCAAAACCAGTGTCCAACCATCCTTGCTGGGGCCTAAAATCAGCAGTATTGGACTGTGAGCTTTTCAGGAGCAGGGAAAGGAGGGCTGAAGATACAGAGGGTTGCATTTCAGTGCCAGTGCTGTGTGCAGTTTTCTACCAGGTCTGTTCTGTTGTTGTTCAGCTGTACTCAAGCTCCTTCTGGCTCTGGCTGTTCTGCGGAGCTCATGGACAGAGCAGTGGAGCGTGACCCTGCTGTGACCAGCAAATTCTCTCAGGATGAGTGACACACAAGGAGACAAAAACATGCACATGTTTATACACACTGGTCTACAATCATGCAAAAATATGCACAGACAAACAGTTGCACAAATCCAGCATGCAGACAAGTGCAAATGAGAGAACACATGCATAAACATGACCAACTGTGCACTCAACTGGGCAAATCGTGGGGACAGCCCTAGCTGGGATTCTGAGAAGCATTCGAGGGAAGAAAAAGGCCCTAAACATGCTAACAGCGTTGTCCAGATACCCAGAGAGACTGCATAGAGAGTGGAGGTGTATTGGGAACCTTGTGGAAGACACAGTATTCGAGAAGTCACTGATCTTGGGCAAGACATGTCTGCTCTTTTGGGCTTTGCACTAGAGGCTTGAGAAGCCTGTACGTTAGCATGAATAACTGCTGCAAGGGAATCTGCTGGACTGTCCTGTGCCAGCCTGTGCTGTGCACTGGTTGATGTTATAACAGGAATAACCTTCCAATGTGTAAAGAGATGTACAATTTTCTTTTTGTTATACAAAATAAAAGGCACCACAGCATGGGAATGAACCAGAAGCTCTTTCTGGATGGGATTTGTGCAGTGTGTCTTGGGGAAATTCACCTGAGTCTGTACAATGCTGCATGAATCCAGAGTTCCCAGCGTCTAAAGGGATGTAAGGTTTACTCGCTATCTATATTACTCTTTATATTCTATGTTACTAAACCAGACATTATGCCTTTCTTTCTGAGGTCTGGAAAAGAGTCTGCACCACATCTCTCCCCATGCCTCCCTCCCTGGTGTAGAACAGGAGGAGGCAAAATAGGTCAGCAGAATTTTCCTCGGAGCAGTGTTAAGTGGGATAGGGTCAAATCCTGGAGGTGGGCCACTCTGTGCCAACAGACCCACAAAAAAACTCAAAGGTATGACCCCGCCTGACATAATTTACTTGACTCCTCCAGCATATGAGCAGAGTTCTCTGCCCATGCTGATGTGTTTTACACCAGAAATGCTTGGGCCTTTTCCTGTCATGCAAAAGATGCCTTCACTGGGGAATGTGCCTGGCATAAAGCAGGAAATTAAAAGGCAGAGATTCAATAAGGCAAAAAACAGCCCATAACATTAGTTGTGATGTTTTGCATTCAAGATAAGCTTGTCAGAAAACAATCACCTCTGCAAGGAATGCCTCTGTTAGCCTGGGGCAGTAAAGGTCCAGGATAAAAGCCAGAGCAGCTCCTTGTTCTGTCATCCACTTCTCTTGCTTCCTTCTCTTTGAGAACCAGGTGAGTCTGAAGTCCGTCTTCCTTCTCTGCTTTCTCAAAAAAGGAGGTGTCACCTCAATGGACCTCTCAGCAGACACCAGATTTGTCCTATGACAGATCCTGGGGCTGCTTGTCACAGGAGAGTGTCCTGGGTTGAGTGAATGGTGGAGTTTTTTTTGGTGGCAGGGGAGGGGGCTATTGGGGTGGCCCCCTGTGAGAAGCTTCTCGAAGCTCCCCCAGCTCCAAGCCGACTCCACTTCTGTTTGGGAACTTGAGCCAATCAGCTGCGCCTCTGCGATCACGTATTTAAGAAGGGACGTGGTGACGGGCAGTCGGACTTGTGAGGAGGAGTTGCTGCAGCTGCATGAACACCAAGGTCAGTGGAGGAACGGAGGAAGAAAGGAGGGGGGAGGTGTGTTGGAGCAGAGACCCCCCTGTATCCTGTGGGGAAACGGCAGGGCGGCCCCCCCTGCCACCCATGAAGATCTACAGTGGAGCAGACATTGATTTATGGCCTGTGGCTTCTGCTCAGATGATCAAGGTGCTGTGCCTGAAGAAGGCCGGAGCCTCATGGGAAAAGGCAGCCCCACTGCTGTAATTCAGTGCTGGGAGGATTGCAGCATGTGGCGGAGTCCCACGCTGCAGCCCGTGTGATAGACTCCAGTTGGAGAAAGTTAGTGACCCACAACGGAGCAGTGTGGGAATGGGAGGAACTCATACTGGAGAAAATTTGTGGAGGACTGTCTCCTGTGAGAGGGGGACCACGATGGAGCAGGAGGAACAAGTTCCGGACACTCCCCTCACTGAAGATGAAGGAAGTGGCAGCACTGACTGCACCCCCCATTCCCTGCCCCTGTGCTACTGGAGGAGGAGGTAGAGATATCGGGAGCAGAGCTGAGCCCGGGAAGAAGGGAGGGGTGGGGAGAAGGTGTTCTCAAGATGTGGCAATGCTTCTCACTGTCCTACTCTGTTATGTGTTGTTAGTGTCTGTAATAAATGTATATTCTTTTTTTTCTTCCCCTAACGAGTCTGCCTTTTGCTCCTGATCATAAAGGGGAGAGAGAGCTGCTGCATTGTGGTTGGCTGCCAACCAGGCCTAAACCATGACAGAGAGGGATGAAGTTAGACATGCAGGGAGGCTGGGACAGTACTGAGGTGGCTTCTGGACTCAGGGATAGACAGAAGCTCTATAGGAGCTGGTAGCTCTTTTTGGGCGTAGGCATAATGAGGCCAAGAAGCCTTCATAGATCTCTGCAGACCCTCCACCTCTCAGCCCTGCAGGTTCTTTGGCTCCCTCATGGTGTAGTGACAAGTTGCTCTTCATGCATCCCCATGTTTTTCTTCCTCCGTGCCCTTTCCCCCAGGTGCACCTCCACCCTCGAGACATGTCCTGCTCCGACCAGTGCCTGCCATGCCGGCCCTGCGGCCCGACCCCGCTGGCCAACAGCTGCAATGAGCCCTGTGTCAGGCAGTGCCAGAGCTCCACCGTCACCATCCAGCCCTCCCCCGTGGTGGTGACCCTGCCCGGCCCCATCCTCAGCTCCTTCCCACAGAACACCGTTGTGGGCTCCTCCACCTCCGCCGCCGTTGGCAGCATCCTCAGCTGTGACGGAGTCCCCATCAACTCGGGGGGCTTTGACATCTCTGGCATTTCCAGCTGCTATTGTGGCAGAAGGTGCCCCCCCTCTACCCCCACCACTAAATCTGCTGGTGACAGCTGGGAAAAGGACCCCCAGGAACCCAGAATCTGATATCAGACTGAGGTCACAGCTCCTGGCCATCAAGTTTAGTGAGGCTGAGCATCCATTGCTGTCCTTCCAAAGGAGGGCAGCTGTGTCTCTCTGCAAACATGACAAATGTCTAACTCCCTGGCCTTCCATTCTCTCACATCTCTGTCTTGTCTTCTGGTTCTCTGATGTCCCAGGCAACCTGGGACATCTGCTGACCTCTCTTCTTCAGTGGGGCAGGCAAATGGATGCCCATGGCATCTCCACTGTGGGCAATCAGTGCAGACTTTCCACAGGTGCTGTTGCTCTCCCTGCATGGCATCTTCCTCTAGGAGTGAACTCATTTCCCACCTAAGTGTCCATAAAGTCCTCTGCATCCCAGCCTCTAACTCCACATAATATTTTTCTTGATGGACATTGACTCAAAATGCCAAGGAAGAAATGCATTGTGTTGGGTGGCAGGGGGCAAGGGGAGGGCACAAGCAGAAGAGGAAGGGGAGGGTGGGACACATGGCAGTGGAGACCTTCCAGTCACTGTCTCTTGGTGATTAGGGAGACATACTCAGCTTCTTGACAGCCAGTGGACCTTCTCCTACTCATCCTCCCACCTGTCCCCATAATGAGGGGGTCTAAGCTGCACCCAAGGGCAAGGACAGCAAGGACAGGTCACCTCTCCACGCTCCATCCCCCCAAAGAGTTCCCTGCACGGCCCAGAAGTTACACTGATGTGGAGGGCTGAAGTGACTCACAGGCTGATGTTGAAATCAGCCTGGCCAGGCCACACAGCAGGGCCCTCATGTCTCTCACCCTCCCCCAGCTCCCACCCCACAGAGAACCCCAAGGACAGCCGCCAGTGCACAGCCCCTCACAGCTGCTCTGTGCTGCCTGGCCTTCCCCCAGGCACGAAGCAGCTCTCCCCAAGGCCAGCTCTTCTCCTGGCAGTGACTCTTGCCCACCTCTGCCTGGTGGGCTGCTCCCCCATTGACGCCTTGGCTAGAGCTGTACAGCCTGGTCCCTCTGCGGAAGAAATGAGGCAGGGCTGGGGGAATCCCCCGACATAGGGCATGAGAAGGGCTCCGAGGATGGACAGAGTGCCCTGGGGAGAACAGGTCCTCCGGATCCCAGCACACGGCCACGCAGCAGCAGCAGGGCTCAGAGGGTAGTTCTGAGAATGGTTCAGAATTGCTGTAATCACGTAATTCCAGGAAGGAGCACTGCCCCAAGGCATGGTTTTTCTATTTTTCATCTTACCCTGAACTCTGACCTCTGAGGGACACATCATGGAACAGGTACTCTAAGAGTCAGGCCCACAGGAAATCCTGAAGTAGTGACGTGCAACAGCAAAAACTATAAAAAAAGAACAGCAGCAAGGAACCATTGTACAGATGGTCCCAACCACCTACATTGCCCATCAGCTCACCAGAGATGTTGGGCATAATTACCACATAACCCATGGTGAAAACAATAGAACCTGAGACTCTTTCACCACCTTCTCCTTTCTCTCAAGCCACTGACACTGCCCTCTCCTGGAAGAGAATCTTGACCTGCAGATCCCTGGGTGCTCAGGTGACCCAGAGCTCCAGGTGAGAGCTGAGGGCCCCTTCCCCACGCTCAGCCTTGCAGACACATCCCCTCCCTCCCCTGGGTTCTTGCACAGCCAAGGAAGCTCCCTGCACCAGAGTGTCTTGCACAGCACAGAGGTACAAGGCACTGTCAGAGACCTCAACTTCCTCCAGCTTCAGGACACTGGATTTCCCTGCGGTGTTCAGCAATGTGGTGAAACGGCCGCTCTGCTTGGAGCCAGCTTCTGTGTGAAATGAGATCAGCTGGGGGCCCTGGTCTTTATTCTGCTGGTACCAGAATAAGGCCCAAAAATTGGAGATCTGGTATGTGCAGGTGGTTTGGAAGGTGTCTCTCTGCTTCAGCGTGACTTGCCCTTCTTGCTGGGTGACAGTGGCCTGCCCCATGATGCCTGGAAGAAAAGAAGGTCAGCAGCTCTGCAGGAAAGGGCTCTGGGAAGCAAACCAGGAATAGATGTAAAACCCTGGAGAAGAAGCCTGCTTGCTCTGTAAGAAAATCATGAGACCTGAAGACAGTCAGGTAGAGAGTGGTTTTGGGCAGCAGCTTTGAAAACTCAGCCTAGCAATCATCCTGAGGAGAGTTGTGCTCTGCCCCTGCTCCTCCTCCTTGGTCTCTGAGTGCCCAGAGGAGTAGGGAACAGCCTGTCATGCCTATCCTTAGTGTGCTGGGACCAGCACCCTTCCAGCAGGTTGAGGGACCCATGGAGCTACAGTAAAAAGATTCATCCTGGTTCCCCATCGCTGTCATCTGTGAGGGCTCCTTGCTCCCTGAATACATGCAGTGCTAAGTTGAAACTTGGAAATAAGGAGCACTGGTTGTGTTGACAATCAGGAGAAAACTGGAGGCCATGGCAGGTATGTGCCAGCCAGAAGAGCACAGCCTGAGGCACCCTATGAATGTCAGTGGGATGACAGTTTTAAAGTCCTGTAACAGATTTGACAGGATCCTATTTGTGGTGGAAAGTGTGAAATGTGGCATTACAGAGACAGCTGAGATGTCCAGCAGTGACAGCAAGTGGATCAGAAGAGAAACAGAAAGAGATAGATTGAAGGGGAGAGAAAAGATGGAGAAAGTGTCAGAGGTATCTCTCTCTTCTCTTCTCTTTTCCTTTCCAAAAGTAAGAGCTTATTCACAGAACCAGTGCAAGACCACAAATATGAGCAGACATTTCCCAGTATTTTCCCGCTATGCAGGGGTATTTCACCACATGGACCCGGTAAGGCTGGTGAGGGTTTCCTGGAGGGGAAGTATGCATTGATGAAAAGGCAGGACTTACCCAGCAGTTGCCCCAGGAAGGCTGTGAAGGCAAGATATCCAAGGGGCATGTTGAGACCAAGCTGCCCGTTTGCTGAGTGAGCGAGAGTCAGAAAAGCACCTGCCAGCCCCAAGATAACAGCGCTGCCGACAGCGACTCCGTTGGGGGAGCAAAGGAAGAAGCAGGGAAGAGAAATAATCTGTTCTTCCTGGGCCTGAAATGCTCCTGGTGGGTTTCTCCCCGCTCCAGCAGCAACCCCTGTGGCTCCCTCAGCCAAGGGCATTCTCAGCGTCTCCACAGTGAGGGGCCCTGGGGGCTGTGGGGGCCCCCCCAGTCGTGGGAAGGGGCTGTTCCCAGTCAGCTCGCAGTGGAGTCCCCTCCTCCCCAGCCAGAATCCCCTGCTCTTCTGCACCCCCACTGCTGGGCCATCTGGGAGGTCAGGGCTTTCACATCTTCCCCTGGGGTTGCAGCTCTCTGGGGATGTTGCTGTGTCTTCTGGCAACAGGAGCCTCCTCCATGTCTGTCACTTCTCCCTCATCCTTCCTCAGCTTCCTGGGAACAACGCCTCTCCCCCACACCCCCAGAAATAGGAGAGGAACCCCGGTGTGCGGCAGCCCAGGGGCTCTGGCTGTGTCTTGTGCTGGTGGGGTAACCTTCATGGCAAGAGGGGCTCCTGGCTCCAGCCAGGCTGCTGGATGCCATAAACCCCGAGGTGACATGACAACCTGTTCTGGAGGGGAAGGGGGGAGGGGTCAGCAGGGAACGGGATGAGGGATCAGTGCGTCCCCCAGACACACACCCAGGGAGCACGTGGGGCACCCACCAGAGTGCTGCACTGCGAGGGCTGGGGATGGGGCAGCCCTGCACCCCAGAGCTGAAGGGTACGCAAAGGATGGGGAGATGGGCAGGTGGTCACCCCGACTGCCAACCCCTTTCCAGATCAACTCCAGAGTGATCCCATGCACCAGTCTCAGCAGAGACACGAAAGCCTGTTCATTTTGGTTAAGTCTAATGTAGGCTTTGCTCCAAAAACCCTCCACAATGAGGCAAATAATGATCCAGGTAACAATAATGGCAATAATAAGCATATTCTCATGGAAGTGTTACACCTCCTTCTACAAAAGAATCTTTCTAAAGAGGTGGAGGTCCTAAGGCCAGCACAGTCTTTCCCCGGTGGAGAAGCAGTCTAAAGCTTACCTTCCAATGGGTTTCTGAGATGGATCTGCCTTCTTAGGCTTTACAGCAGATATAAGACATGTACAGGAAGATGAGGGTTTCTGCATTTCTACTGAGAGAAAAAAAATGAGCCATAGTCCTCAACCTACAACCAATTTTGCTGACCCCAGGGCTACATCACTGGGAGTCTCTCCTGTCTTAATATTTCTGTCTCTTCTCTCAACATCCCTAATACTTTGTCTGGCTTTCTGCACCAGGCTGCATCACAGTGTCTGCCCCCACACCTCCCTCAGCACACCTCTGGAATGTAGTTCTCAGACAATTGAAGAATGACACTCCAACCCTGCAGCCCCTGACTGTCCGTTTTAAAGCCTCCAGGCAGTATCAGCTTTCTCCCTCTATCCAAGCAAATGTACCTCATGAACCAGTATATCTACCCACCTGCCCGTTGTGGCCCACAGTAACCAGCAGATGATTGTTCATGGAGAAGTTGGGGATCCGTATGGCAGCTGGCCTGAGGAGGCACGGATGCATGCTGTGGTCTGTATATCACTGGGCTCTCAACAGTGATGCCACAAGCATGTCCTTCTCTTCATCTAGGAGTGAAACACCTTGTTGTCATAAAAATGTTATTTCACTCAACAGTAGAAACAATGAATAGAGTTGTCTATTTCTAAGAAAATCTCATGGAAACTCCAAAGATGATACCACCATTGATTCTCAGAACAGGCAGGATTTGCTCCATGTGACAAACCCTGACTTGAAGTCCATTTCATGATCCATAATTGGGATTTGCCAGCATCTGAAGGGGCATAACATTACCTGTGTTATCCCCCTTCAAATTAATGGTATTTTAATCAACACCTTATGGACCTGGAATGCCATTCTAACTGGACCCCATCTACACCCATGCTCAAACCACATGGATAAAACCAAAATAAATTCCTAATTTCCAGTATAGAAGTGCCCTGTTCTATCCAGTGCCTATTGCCTTTCCTTCTGTCACTACATTCAAGAAGATTTTTGCTTCCTGTGGCTTCTTACAGTTATCCTCCAAGTTTGGCTCCTCTCTTCATCCTCCAGTCAAGTGTTAGAAGCTTAAAAAACTCTCCTCTTGGCATCTAATTCGAAGGCTGAAGAAGGTAATTCCTCTCAGCCTCTCCTTATGTCTTGCATTATGGAATCACAGAATAGTTAAATTTGAAAGGGATGTCTGAAGGTCATCCAATTTAACACCCTGCTCAGGAAGGCTCACCTAGAACTGGATTGCCTGGACCATGTCCAGATGGCTTTTGAATGCCTCCAAGGATGGAGGCTCCACAACCTCTCTGGGCATCCCATGCCAGTGCTCCTTCGCCCTCACAGTCAAAACTAGTTTTGTGATGTTCAGATGGAGCCTCATGTGATTCACTTTGTGCCCATTGCCTCTTGTCCTGTCCTAGAACACCACAGGGAAGAGCCTGGCTCCACCTTCTTCACATCCTCCCTTCGGATGTTTGTGGGCGGTGATGAGAGCTCCCCTGAGACTTCTCTGTGCTGAACAGTCCCAGCTCTCTCAGCTGGGATCAGCTCCCGAGAGTCACTGCAGCCTCTTCATCATGCAGAGTGGCCCCTTGCCTGGCTGTCTCCAGTCCGCCTGTGCCACACAGTTCCCAGTGAAAACACACACACTCTTACACCCTCTGGAGTCCCCTTGTGACACACTCCCATTTGTGCATCCCCCAGATACCAGCACGGGTCCCCAGCCCCTAGAACAGCCCTGCCTGGAGCGAGGGCCCTCTTACCCACCACCAGGCTCTCCTCCTTCTCCCTGGCTAGGCCACTCTGACGATCACAAGCAAAGAGCTGTGTGAAATCACCCACTCCTCACACCATCACCACCACACTCCTGGATCCCTCAAACATTGCCATGGCTCAGTAACATCAGCCTGTGATTTGTTTCTCCTTCTCCAGTTGCTGGCACCCAGACCTTGCTTACAGCTCTGGCTTAAAATCTGCTGGCAGAGACCCACAGCTCCTGTGACCAGTGACCTCTTGTCCAGTTGCTGGCACTCAAACCCTGCAGCACATCCCTGGTCTATCCAGGTAATGGCACCCAAGCCTACAATCCCTACAGCATTTGACTTTGCCCAGTTACTGGCACACAGCTCTCTCTTTCACACCAGTGACTCCAGATACAGAAGCTCACATTTGGGAAGTTATACAGGAATATGGATAAAAAAGGATTAAATAAGAATGTAATGGGGACTATAGTGGTCAGGCACAGGGCTCATCCCAAAAAGTGCACTGACGAGCCCCTGCTTATGTGTCACTGGCTCATTTCAGGCTGCCTCCTCACTATGGTCTCACGTGCTTCTCCCCAGTTCCTGCTTTCCACCCACATTTCACCCTTCACCTAAGCATGCCTCCACACCTGTAGCCTAGACACACAGGAGCCCCCTCAAACATCCCAAATCTTCATCTCCCTCTTGTCAATTCCTTCCAAAGCTCAGCCTGACCCGCTTCAAAGCTTCACCTGCAGTTCCCTGATGGCCCATCGAGCAGAGGCTGAAGAGCTCTGCCCTCCCTCCTCCTCTCCCTCATCACTTACGCAGAGACTGGGCTCACCGGTGCCTCCTTTATCACTTTCCCTTTTCCCCGTCCTCCCCTGTGCAAGCAGAGGGCACTTGGTCAGACAGCCTCAGTGAACCATCCGCTCTGACCTTCCACCTGCCCTGACAGTGACCTCTGGTGAAGTTCCTCAGGTGAGCCAGTTCCTCACCATGCTGAAAGGCTCCTGTCCCCAGAGAACACTGGGTCCCTCGAGTCCAGGCTCTGGGGGGAAACCCCATGGTGAGCTCAGTCTTTGAAGTGTCTCCCTGCAACACCTGCAGCAACACTAAGCCATGGCTTTCACTTTCCAGGACGCCTGAGAAGTTACAAAATGAAGGAAACGGGAAAGACAGGTTGAATGCGTGCTCAGTTTCCGATGGAAGGTGAGTGTAAAAATACACTTAGGTCACTTGAAACGTCATTCTGGAAAGAGCTCGTCCACGCTCCCTATTCCAACATATTTATTCTTTGCTCTCCCTGATGTCCTGCATTTCCTACCAGGTCCTGCATACACCCTCACAGGCCTTTGTGTACAGCTGAGCATGAGGACAGACCTGAAGGCCACCTCCAGGTGGGATCCAAATCTTATCATTCTTTCCCCATCCAGCACGAAATGGACTTCTCATCCACCTTTCAGTACCTCGCAGAGGTATTTTTCCCCAGGGCCAGAGGCTGAGCTTTCTTTCTCACCTCAAAAGACCTCACTGCCAACAGCCACTGTCATGGTTTACTGAGCTGACACCACTCCAGGAATTGGAACATGTTGGCCTGCCACCATGGCTGCTCTTGTCAGCCTCCCCCACAGCTTCCCCACTCCAGGGACAGCTCTTTGCTTTCCAAGACAGACTGAGCATAGCAAGAGACATGTGCACAGAGGGACAAACTAGATCCCAGAAATGCACCCACCTATCTCAAGGTTGGAGACAGACCCTCTGCAGCCCCCAATGTACTCCTTGTTCCCTGGTAGAGTCTGAAGGGATGCAGAACCAGGAACATGCAAAGGCACCAGGAAGCAGGAGTCCGACTCCCTATCCCCAGAGGCATTTCTCTCTCCCTTCTCTGGGGCCATGGCTGATGCTCTTCAAGGGAACCAGCAGTGGGAAGAGCTCCTGCAGTGAACATCCACACAGAGTCACCCCTGTTGGGCACGAAGACATCCAGCACAACCCTCTGCTTCACAGACATCTCCTCCCCATCCCTTCAGGCATCACAGTCATCCTCTTTGTGTAGCAATGACTGAACCCTGTAGGGTGAGAGCAGAATATCACATTATGAACTTGTTTCTGAATGCATGAGGTTTGGACTCCATACATGTTCCACTGGAAAAGTGTTTGGGGGTTGTGCGAGACATGGGATGCTGAGGGGAAGGAGCACAGACAAGCAGAGGGAAGGATCAAGGCAGCTTGTTTGGGAGCGAGTATGGGAAGACAGATGGAGGCAGGGATGAGAGCAGCTGATTGCGTGTGAACACGTGTCTGATCCGTGTGCTGGCCTGGCCACGCCTGTTGCTCTGCCTTGTTTGTCCACCTGCCAGCAGTTCCCTGCAAACCCAGTGATGAAGTCCAGCTGGGGCAGGGAGTGCGGCTGAGCCTTCCCTCTGTGCCTCGGAAGCCCCTGACCATGGGCTTGGAACTGCTCTGGCAGCTCCTCGAGCCACACAGGGCTCCATGGGGAGCGGCCGGAGCCCACAGTCCCTTCCCAGAGGCCTCCTTCCAGCTCCTTGGGCAACGCAGCAAATCTGTTGCCGACTCACTAATGAGGGAGGAACCTGGCATCCCTTGAGGCTGTGGTCAGGGTGCTCTATCGGGCTTATAGGGAAAGGTTTTGGTAGAAGAGGGGCTGCAGGTGTGGCTGCTGTGAGAAAATGCCAGAAGCTGTGCCAATGTCGGGTAGAGGTGGGACCTGCCGGCTCCCAAATGTTCCACGAGGACTGTCTCCCATGGGAGGGACCCCAGGGCGCAGCAGGGGAAGTGCGTGAGGAGGAAGGAGCCACAGAGACAACGGGGGAGGAACGGGAGCCAACCCTGCTTTGCCATCCCCCTGGGCCACTCGTTGGGAGGAGGCAGAGAATTGGGGAGCGGAGCTGGGCCTGAGAAGAAGGGCAGGGCGGGGGGAAGGGCTCGCAAGGTTTGGGGTTCAGCTCCCCTTCTCCCGCTCGGATTTGATGGGCCCGAAATTGCCGGGGCCCGGGGCCGGGCGGGGCCGGGCGGGGCCGGGCGGGGCCGGGCGGGGCGAGGCGGCCCCGGCGGGTGGAGCGGCAGCGCCCCCTGGCGGCCCCGCCCGGGGCTGTCCCCGCCCCCGGCCCCGCCCCCGCCCCCCCCCGCCCGGCCCCGCCCGCGGCGGTTCGTGCCCGGCCGCAGCCCCGGCTCCTCTCCCCGTGTGCCTAAGGGCGCAGTAATACACCGCCGCGTCCCTGCGCCGGGGCCGGGCGAGCCACAGGGCGCTGGACCGGCGGTCTGCCGCCACCGACAGCCGCCCCGGCGGGTCCTGCAGCTCTTTGGTCCCTTGAAGACCGCCAACAAGGACTCTTGGGCTTTGGCCTGGGAGCTGACGGTACCAGAGGATGTAGTCGTAAAACTGGATGTTGGTGTGTGAGCTGTTGATGCTGATTCCAGTGCCCTCGGTGGTCTCTGCCGACGGCTCCTGCTGCACCTGGGCTCTGCCCACAGCCACTGATGAGGAGAGAAATATCAGTCCAGCCCTGCCTGCTGTTTCCCAGATTATATCCCACAAAAGCAGTCAGAACAAACAGAGATGAGAAGAGTTTCCAGATGATGTCAACATGTGCATTAATAGACATGTCTATTAACAGCTTGTGGAGACATGAATGCGTGATGCATAGGTGGAATGGTGGAGTCATAGAAGAAAAAATGTGGGACCAAGGGAAGAAATAAAAGAAGTAACAAGGGGAAAGGGAGGACACATGAGCTATAGGGAAAGAAACAGGAAAGCAAGGATACAGGTTTGATTCAGGAAAGAATACAGTGACTGGTTTTCTGAGGGAATGTGAGAAGGTGCAGAGGGAGGGATGGAAGGGAGGATGGTTGGTGGGTAGAGGTCGTGAGAAAGCCAAAGGGGATGGCAGCCTCGAGCGACTTGCTGAGGTATGGCATGGTACGCCGCACCCCCGGGCCAAACCCCCCTGCTGCCCCCATCCCCGCGCACCCAGGAGCACCGCGGCCAGCCCCGCCAGCCCTGCGCCCCGGCCCCGCCGCATCCCGCCGCTCCGCCGCCCGCGCCTCGCTGCCCCCCGCCAGCCCCGGCTCTCTGCTCCGCCCGCCGCGCCTCCTCTCCGCCGCCTCCGCTCCTCTCCGCCGCCGCCAGCTCCGCCCCGGGGCTGAGCCCTGCGCCGGCGCCGCTCGGGGGCTCGCCCGGGCTCCGAGTGCTCAGCGGCTCTGCACGGCCACCACTTGGTCTCCTGGCAATGCCACTCTCTCCCTCCTCCAGCAAGGGCTCCCCAGCAAGAACCAGCCTGCACAGCGCCAGCTGCAGCCTGGGCCAGCAGCAGGGCCTGGGCCCAGGAGATGGAGCAGCTTCCCAGAGCTCTCCCCGAGCTCAGGGGCTGCAAAGAGCAGCCACTGCTTTCCTGCCGCTGGCAGGGAGGAGGCGGAGAGCCTCCCTTCAGCTGCCTCTCTGCACTCCCAGCACAATGCCTACGAGGGCTCTGCAGGCAAAGCGGGGCTCCGGACAAGTGTGCCCGTGGGCGTGCGCGGGGGGCAGGGGCCCAAGAGGAACGGCAGCGTCCCAGTGTCGGCGAGAAGGGACCTCCAGAGCTCCTCGACAGCAGCCCCCGCTCTCAGCAGTTCCCACTCCATCGGGCCGCTCCCGGGGGGCGATTGCCGAAACTCCCACGGAAATCCATCCCAGGGTCTGCTGGCTGGGCTTTGCCCCACCCCTCACAACTCCTGGAGCCCGGTAGCCCAGCCCCTTTTCCACCCACCTTATCCTCCTCTTTCTGAAGCCCTTCGCCTCCAGTTCGGTCACCAAGGCAGTACAAGAGAGGCTGGAAAGATCTGGCTAAACTCCAGCTACGCGCCTGCCCTGCCCTTTCTTTGGCCGCAGTGCCCGCTCCCTCCTGAGAAATCAGCAAGGTTTCCCTCGGAGACACCTCCGAGAGCGTCATCTGAGAAGCAGCTCCACGGAGAGGGGAGTCAGCCCTGGCTGAGCTCTCCCAGCAGAGCTCCCTGGCACTGAGCTCCCCAAAGGTCGCTCAAGCGAAGGAGGGAAGCCTTGGCTGCCCTGTGTCCAAGTGGGACCTGAGCCCAGGCGGAGAAGCGGTCAGGAGGGGAGATGGGCTCAGGAGCTTTACACACCCTGGACAGCCCCGGGTGGAGGCAGAGTCTCTTCTGGACACCCCTGTGGGACAGCAGCAGGCTTTGGGGGATGCGGGCTTGAACGCAGCATCCCTTCCCTCCCGGGGCCAGCTGCTGGGCACTCAGACTGACATTCCCGGCTGGGGCATGAAGGGCCTCGTGCGCTGAAGCCCAAGGCAGTCATCAGCTCTTTGGCTTTCCTTGTGAAAGCCCCAGGGTCTGTCATGCTACTCAAAGCAAAGCAGTCTCAAGCTTCACGTTCCTGCCATTCAGTCCCAGCTTAACCCGAGGTCTCAGCCCCTGCCTCACACGGCACCAGGCCAATGATCTGCAGAAATACATCTGGCGTAGGACTGGAGACGAGAGGGGGCTTTGTCCCAGCCCAGACACCACTGACATAAGAGTGGAAGCAGAGCCCCTCAGGGATGGCCAGCACATGCTCAGCAGGATTCCTCAGCCCTTCTCCTTGCCCATAAAGCAATCCCCATCCTTTGAAATCTCTCAAGCTGGGCAGAGCAGCCGAGTCCTGGCCTGGAGAGGCAGGGAGGGGGCACTGCCAGCCATGCTGAGGCACTCCCAGCATTGTGACACTGACTTAAATACGGTTCCAAATTGGTGTGAATGCATCCTTGTTGTGGCCTGAAGTTGGCAGCAGCAGAGCGTGAGCTTTGGAGGGGCAGGAAAAGGAGGGCTGAGGAGACAGGGGCTGCGTGTCAGTGCCTCTTCCCTGGACACATCTCTAGCAGGCTGGTGCCATCACCGTACAGCTGCACTCAGGCTCCTTCTGAGCCTGGGAACCTGCTGCTCTGCGGTGCTCGTGGGCAGAGCAGAGGAGAGTGGCCCTGCCACGAGCAGCACATTCCCTCGTGATGAAGGACACACAAGCAGGGTCATGCTCACTGGCGTGGAATTATTCACAAGCTTGTAGTCGCACAAGCATCCGCAGAAACAAAACTGCTCAAAAGTACCCAGAAGAAAGAACACACATAGGAACACAACGGACCATGGACTCTGCTGAGGACCCCTGGGGACTGGGACAGCGTTAGGCAGGCTGGGGCCAAAACCCTGCAGCACCACACAGACACCTGTGAGGCAACAACAAGTGACCAGTTGGGGTGAGCTGAGGAAGGACTCTGGGACAGACCAGGACGTGGCACGACCTCATGCACGGGAGCCCACGGCATCCAGCCGAGGGTGGCTGGGCCTTCTTCCGAAGAGCAGCACTTCAAACAGACCCACTGGAGTCATCCCGACTGACATCACCTGCCTGCTCTGGAAATAGCCAGCACTTGAGCTGAGTGTTCACCCGCACTGCTGCATTCCTACCCAGGAAATCCTGGGGCCTTTCATCCCAGTGCTCAGAACAAGCCTTCGCTGGGAAATGGGCTTGGCACAAACCTGGAAATGAAAAGGCAGCAGTGCAGGAAATGAAAGCACAGCCCATATTATTAGCTGTGATGGTTTGCGTTCAAGACGAGCTTGTCAGAAAATTGTTCCCTCTGCAAAGGGTGCCTCTGGGCCTGCGGCAAGGAAGGGCAGGTATAAAAGGCAGCCCCAGTCCCTGCTCTCTCATCCACTTCTCTTGCCTCCTTCTCCTTGGCAACCAGGTGAGTTCCTTCCCCTCCTCTTCCAAAGCAAGACCTCCGCTTGATAGTCACCCCAGCTGATATTGCTCTGTGCTTTCCGGGGGTTTGGATCTTCTTGTTATGTCAGAGGCGGGTGGGGAGACATTGTGCTTAGAGAGTGGGCTGAGGGGTCTCTTGGTTTACGAGTGAGGAGAGAGCGTCCCTATGCCAGGCTGCTCTTCATAGAGCGATAAAGACGCCCTGTGCTTCCTTCCTGCTTCTCCCCCAGGGTGCACCTTCACCCTCGAGACATGTCCTGCTCCGACCAGTGCCTGCCATGCCGGCCCTGCGGCCCGACCCCGCTGGCCAACAGCTGCAATGAGCCCTGTGTCAGGCAGTGCCAGAGCTCCACCGTCGCCATCCAGCCCTCCCCCGTGGTGGTGACCCTGCCCGGCCCCATCCTCAGCTCCTTCCCACAGAACACCGTTGTGGGCTCCTCCACCTCCGCCGCCGTTGGCAGCATCCTCAGCTGTGACGGAGTCCCCATCAACTCGGGGGGCTTTGACCTCTCCTGCATCACCAGCCGCTACTGCGGCAGAAGGTGCCCCCCCTGCTAAAGCTGCTGGCAGTGACCCACGGAGACACCTCGTGGAACTGAGAACATTTGCTGGGCACAGGATCAAGAATTTGGATGTTGTTTTCAGGATAGCTGAATGGCTTTGCCTTTCTTTCCATTCCTCTTTTGCTGCCTGTCCCCTTGCCTACAGAGTGTCCCCAGTGCCAGCCTGGTGGGGACCATCTGTCTCCTCTCCGGCCTCTGTGGGCAGGCAGACAGACAGACATCAGGCAGGAACTTCTCTGTGGGCAAGCACTGAAGACCCTCAGCTGCCCCCACAGCTCCCTGCACTGCTGTGCTCCACTTGGAGTGACTTTGTTTCCCTCTTTTGACTCATTAAAGTTCTGCTGCATCCAAGCCTGGCCTCCATGTGGTCCTTCCCTCCGTGGACACTGCCCCGGCTGCCAGAGGGGAAGGCTGTTGCTCTGGGGTGGAAGGGGGAGAGGACCCTGGGAGCCCTTGCCTTGTTGTGTCATTGTTCACAAATGGCCAGGAAGGCCGGAGGCCCTGAGGGGTCAGCAGCCCCATGAGCTCCTGAGGAAGGGCGTTCCTCTTGCGGTGGTTGGAGGTGCACTGGCTTGGCAGGGGTTGGACTTTGGCTCCAAAAATTCTGTGGTTTGCAGAACGGCAAGGATGGTAAAGAAGGGAACAGCCCTTGGGATGGCCCAGAGCTGCTCCTCCACCTTCCTCTCCCCTCCGCCAGCCAATGTAGGGGCTGTGGCCTGTGTGCATGGACGGGGCTGTCAGGGAAAAGTCACCCATGCTGCTGAATGCATAGGGACTGGAAATTGGAGCTACACCTGTGGGAGCTGAGGGCAGTCAGCACAGGAATGGGAGGAAAGGCCTGCATCCCGGGGAAGGGACAGTATTACAGAAAGTTGATGTCCTAAGCCGGAGCTGCTAGGGAAACACTCTGGCCTATAGGAGGGACTCAGGTACCGAGGAAACCTATGGACGACTGTCCTCTGTGAGAGGGTGATCACTGGAACAGAGGAAAGAAGTTCTAAAGTTCTCCTCACTTCTGTAAGTTGGAAGATGTAGCAGTGCTGACTGCACCCCCCATTCCCTGCCCTGCTTGGGGGAGTAGGTAGGCATATCGTGAGCCAAACTGAGCCTGGGAAGAAGGGACGGACAGATAGAAGGTGTTTTCAAGATGTGACAGTGCTTCTCACTGTCCTACTCTGTCTGTTATGTGTTGCTGTTGTAAGCGTCTGTAAAAAATCTTTGTTCCTTTTTTCTTCCTGACAGAGTCTGTCTTTTGCCCGTGACTGTAATGGGTGATTTGCCCCTCCCTGTCTTATCTCAAATCCCCAGCATGGCTTATTTTCTCCTTCTCAGCGCTGAGGGGAAAGGGGGAAGTTAGCTGCTGCATGGTGCTCACTTGCCCTTTGAGCTCCAAGCACGACAGTCCCTTGGCAGCCACTATAGTCTCAGATACTTTTTCCTATACAGAAATCCAAATGTCTCGACGAAAATGTACAGGTGGAGGAACGGAAATCCCCACACCCATGTCCTTCATCAAGAGGGAATTATGGCTCAGTGTTAGAAGCATCAGAAAGGTGTCTCTTAGACTTCTCTTTTGAAGGATGGAGAAGGCCAGTTCTCTTAGCAGCCTGTCATGTCTTCTCTTACCAAAAGACAGAACTGTTGAATTTGGAAGGCACCAGTGGAAGTCAGCGCGTCCAAAACCTGCCTCTGGAAGAGTGAGCCTGACCTGGTTGCAAAAGGGCCACATCCAGGTCGATTTTGAGCACCTCCGGGGATGGAAACTCCACAATCTCACCGGGCATCCCGTGCTGTGGTAGGATTTTTTGGGGATTAGGGTCATGCACTGATCCTACAGGGTTTGGACAATCCAGACTGGGTCTCTGAGCAGAAAACTGCCCAGTGTTAATCCTACCCTTGAGGTCACCTGGAAGGGCAAGAATGAGGAAGTCAACTAGTGTTCTTCCTGTTGATTGCCTGGATACACTAACCGCAAATTAGATTTAGTTTATACCCCTGTACTAACGATGCAGACCTATCACAACGCTTCCTGGGGCGTGATAAGGGCCTTTAGCCAATAGATTGTAAAGCATAGAGCTGTGACCATCTGGCTCTGTATATCTTGGGGCTATGCGGGTAAATAAATGAGTACATCTTTCGTCCCATTGGTGTGAGGTCTAACTCCGGTCTCGCCCTCTGGACGAGGTCCCTCCTACAAATGCCAGTGCTCCCTCACCCTCACAGTGAAAAAGGTTTCGCTGGTGTTCAGAGGGACCCTCCTGCGTTTCACTTTGTGCCCATTGCCTCTTGTCCTGTCCTAGAACACCACAGGGAAGAGCCTGGCTCCACCTTCTTCACATCCTCCCTTCGGATGTTTGTGGGCGGTGATGAGAGCTCCCCTGAGACTTCTCTGTGCTGAACAGTCCCAGCTCTCTCAGCTGGGATCAGCACCCGAGAGTCACTGCAGCCTCTTCATCATGCAGAGTGGCCCCTTGCCTGGCTGTCTCCAGTCCGCCTGTGCCACAGAGTTCCCAGGGAAAACACACCCCCCCTTACACCCTCTGGAGTCACAAGCACACCGCTCAGCCATCAGTCCCTCCAGCTGCTGGCCCAAAGAGAGAAAGGCCCTGTGACCCGTCTCCAGTGGGCGGCAGCCAGGTCTGAAATCCCAGTAAGCACTGGTTGGTCCCCCAGTTCCTGGCACCCAGCTCACTCTGTCACCCCGCTCCCTCCAGTTCCTGGCACTCAGACCTTGCAGCACCCACACACGGGAGAGGGAGGGAAGCTGCACAGCAGGACGGTTAGGAAAGGATTTGCTAAGAAGGCAGGGGGGCTGTGGGCCCAGGCACAGGGCTGATCCCGACCAGTGCACCCACCAGCCCCTGCTTGGGGCCAGGTACCTCCTTTTATCCTTCTGCCTCTCTATTGCCTCCCCTTGCAGAGGGGAGCAGAGGCTGTGGCAGGTGCCCCCGCCCGATGACAATGTGGCTCCCTGGCTGTTGAACTTCCCCTGTGCCCTTGTTCTCAGGGCTTTACGGCAGTTGGGCTCCTCGGCCAAGAGGGGCTGGGATTGACCACAGGTCAGATTGGGCTCGGGTAGAAATGGAGTCCCCTGGGGGAGCCTTTTTGAGCTGGTGCGGACCAGAGCAGCGTCCTGCAGGTAAGGCCTCTCGCCTTGGGCTGGGACTGGGCCCAAGGAAACTCCTTGGCATTCCTGTGGGTTGGGACGCTGCCCTAAGGTGTTCCTTGATGTGGAGAGTCCTTTTCTTTTATTAGGTGAGTGACTGAGTGATTTGGGTTGCCCTTAAACCCTGGGAGATTGTGTGGCGATAGTTTGTTTGACTCTCACGGCCATTTGAACCTGCTGTTTGTATGTTTGGGGAGTGCTGATTAATTGTGCACAAAAAAACCTTTATTTTTTATTCTTTACTTGAGAGTTTCTGCAACAATTGGCATAGTCGGCAGGAGGTCGATAGAGGAGTTATTGTATTGTTGTGTCTTCTGTCTCCCAAATGTATAACAGGGGAAGGAGAAGAGGTTTAGTTTCTGGGTGTTTGTGAGAATGTGAGAACAGAGCCGTGGTAGTTTTTGGGATGGTGGAAGTAAAGGGCATATGTGCGCCACCTTAGGTACCTGTTGGATTCAGGCAGGAGATTATTTTGTAGTGGTGAAGAAAGAGAACTTTGGGAAAGAACTGGCAATTGATTGCTTGAGGGTAGAATTGTTCCAAGAAAGAGAGAGGCGGCGGTACGGAATATCGCTTGCCGCGCCGGTGGACCCCAGCCACCACAGACCTCTTATTAGAGGGTCCCGCATGTTTTAAAGGCACCTGTGCAGTCCCTGAGGGAAAGGGTGCAAAGAGCTGTTGATCTGACCAGCCAAGCCCTCCGACCCCCTTGTATGTGTACTAATGTGGGCAGAAATGCTCTGTGATGGGGTTTTGGGGTCTGTGAGATGGGATGGACTGAGCCGGGTGCTGGCGTGGTCAGAAATGGGAAGTTTCAGAAATGTAGTGGGAAAGTCCACCCCGAGCAGCCTCCTGGTAGGGGGCCTGACCTGCCCTGGGATAGGTTCCAGCTGATCTTATGATTTGGGAAGGAATTTTTTTCAGGGACCAAAATTAGTGTTTTAAATAGTCAATAAACTACTGAGTTAAGATTGAGATTATCAAGGAAGTTTATAAATATAATAGGTGCGATGGGGTTATGGAAAAATGTCCCATAGTGCAAGCGTAGGTTTGGTTATCAGGGGAAAAAGGATGAGAGCTGTGGAGGTGGCATTAAGACCTTATAAGGGAAATATATTGGGGTTTGTGTTATTAGGTAAACAGCGGTGTTTACAGGATGGCGGTGGGTGGAGTTTTGAAGGTGCTGGGACAAGGGTGTCTTATGCAAGTTTTTTTCAGGTTGTTCTTTTATTATTATAATTTTAAGGTAAGCCGTGTTTCTCAATATTCATAGCTAACAATTGTTAAATGGGGTATTTAGTGGTAATTAGTGATCTTGAGAAAAGAGATCCTAAATTGCATCTATTACATTTATAATTTTCTAGTTTGGCCGGACCGTAAGATGGATGGTTGGTGGTAGCTAACTGTTGATTACTGGAGATTGAATAGCAATATCCCCCCTTTAACAGCTACTGTCCTGAATAGAGCATCAATAATAACAGCAATACAGGCAGCTGCTAATGTGTGGGTGCCTGCTTCAAGTTAAAAATATAGGGGGGGGGGGTTATGATTCCCTTAAAAGATGAGGATGAGCCTCAGTTTGCCTTTACTTGTTAAAGGACGTAAAATAATCTAACTCAGCCTTGCAGACACATCCCCTCCCTCCCCTGGGTTCTTGCACAGCCAAGGAAGCTCCCTGCACCGGGTGTCTTGCACAGCACAGAGGTACAAGGCACTGTCAGAGACCTCAACTTCCTCCAGCTTCAGGACACTGGATTTCCCTGCGGTGTTCAGCAACGTGGTGAAACGGCCGCTCTGCTTGGAGCCAGCTGCTGCCTGGTAGGAGACCAGCTGGGGGCCTTGGCCTTTCCTCTGCT